TTTTTTTTTTTACATGATCATTAAATTAAGCGTAAAATCACTGTACTGTTTACACTTTAACACACACAAGGACAACACACAATCCTATGATGCATGACCTACTAATAATAACTATATTAATGTAGGTTTTTCAAACATTTTCCCCAGACTCCTCCTCCACCATAATAATCCCTCCCCCTTTATCCCAGAAGTGAAATCCCCTCCCTCCCCATGCTAATGCCCTGCTCCCTGTTGTCCCTAGTTCCAACCGTCGACTCTGAGACAGTCTCAGCCGTTACTGCAGTACGGTTTTAAAAACCGTTGGCTCTGGTTTGTCCCAACCTGAGGAGCTGCTGCTGCTGCTGCTGTAGCTGTAGTAACACCGGCTTGTGTTTTGGTCCTGTCAGCTCATTCATACAATCCTATCTGGAGCTGTTCATACCTACCTTGCCGGCTCTAGCTACCGACCTCAACCCCGCCGCCAGGAGAGAAACTAACCGACAAAAAAACAAAAAGCAACCAGCAGACAACTGGCGGTCAGAACGCAACGGTTGGAGCGCGAGCCTGCCGACCAACCGCCACCGGCCGATGACGTGCGGTGGAATTGTTGAAAAAGAGGAGGAGTCTTATTTGTGAGCGAGAGAGCGGAGAGCGGGTTTGAGTCCGAGTACATTCACAAACTACACAGTTTGTGGAACCGATCACTAGTCCCCCCCCTCCACCAACCGGATAACACACCGGACCACACATCCCCGACCGCAACGGTTGACGTGAACACACAGCAGGGGCGCGGAAGAGTTGAATAGCGGCTGGAGGAGAAGAACAAGGAGGAGGAGACAAGTCTGCTTACAGAGCGAGGCAGAAAATCGCGGGAACGTCGTCGCTCGGCAACGCGAAGATTCGGTGAGTCGAGGTATTGCAACTAGCCTGCTAGCCGTGCAGCTCTCACTTTGCCTTTCGTATTTTACCCAAGGAGGCGATGTGGTTTATTGGAACTTGTGCTTATATACATTTGGTTATAAATTACATTATATTTTTCTGTTTTGTCTGTATTTTTTGGTATGTGGGTGGCACATATTGCAGTGAGCCCTAGCGATTGGGCTTGTAGCGGGCTTAGAAATGTTAGCTAGCGGTTGCTTAGATACTAGCTCAATGGATAATACATTAGTGACCGATTTTAATAATATTTTACTTTTTACTTTTACTTTATTTTTTACGAGAAGCTTGAATTGCAACCGCTCCTATTTTGTGAAAGCAATTTCGCGAGTTTCCCAATTGTGTAATTTGCTTATATAAAATTACTGAACTGCTAATGGCTGTGAATTCTGAATTATTTTTTATATTTAATATTACATTATGAGCACTTTTTTTAAGTAAAGTGTTTTTTGTTTTTAGATAAAAAAAAAAAAACTAGTTTCTTTTGCACATGCTCTTCCTGCGGGACGCGATCCTTGTTGCTAAGTGGTGGTGACTCGGTTGAAGAACGCTTGTACACCAATACACACAAGGATATAACCAAGTAGAGTGACCCAATTCTCAGTTTTATTCAACTATAACATGCCCTCACACCACTCATGTTGCCAATAGTCTGATAGAAGTAATCAGATACTTTGTTTAATACACCGATTTCCCCATTTAGCAACTGGAAACATACATTTGTGTCTTTGCACCTCACTTAAGTCTCAAAGGTCCAAGTCAGTGAGACGACTACGGTGTGTCGGTGCTAAAACAAGCAGCACATCCAGCATACTGCAGAGGTGACAGTTTGGGGGAGGGGCAAAAATGAAGACAGATTCTGGTGTGAAATTGTCCACCCTGAGATGAGAAGTAATGTAGGTAATGGAAAGATAAAACATTTGCTTTGCTTGCTTTAATTTGCTTTAATTATCACCCCTGGTTGCACTTTAATGAAGAGTTTTTGGCTTATTGTAGATACTTACATGATTTAATGAAGGTTATTAGAGAGTATCCCCAAATTGAAAATCAACATTAGATTTGGGCCTAAACACACACAGAATAGAAAAATGGGTTAAAGTGAAGAGTAAATTGCTGCATTGTCAGCACTGTGCAGTTAAACCCCCCCTCTTGGTCTACAGTGGTACAGCCCAGTAATTTTCCATGCGCCACACTGTCCTGATGTGGGTGTGGCTTAATGTCAAATAAGAGTTTAGCAGTTTTTTCCCTTTGACCTGCTCTGTGAGTTTATGAAAGAAAAAACTACATTAAAAAAAAAAAAAAAGATGTACAGATAAGTGACCCAACTGAGTGATTGCTGTATGAATCTGAGCTCCACAGGTCAGCCACAGTTTGGGGAATTTAGCATCATAATGATCATTTACCATATTAATGATGTGTGTGTGTGTGTGTTTTTATTTTTAAATGGACTCAGTTTAGTCCGTACAAAGTGAGGTGTTTGAGGTTTGCGTCTGGAACGTGGTACAGCTTCTGGTTTCCCCTCACCCACTTCACCCAGTGGCAGTGCTCACATGGTGCACTTGTAATTCATTACCCAGTCTGCTTTTTCCTACTGAAGAGGAAGCAGCCTAAAAAGGCTCCGCCTACATTTTTCACAAGCTTTCCTGTAGATGTTAGAAGTCATGTTATTTTTGTTGCTTAGCAAAATGTGTTTACCTCTCATCCAGTTTAATCAATCAGCATTCTCTATTGATCGTACAAACTGCTATACCAATTTTCAGAGCTAGCTAACACAGAGAGAGCTAACATTCAGATTTATACTTCATCTCAATGGAGGGACTTTTGAGGCTCTGTCTGCTTATAGTGATATATATATATATATAT